TATTCGGGTGGACGACTACGTTATTCAAAATTTGATCGCTCTAGACACCGTTGCTTTTTCACAATGCGAGAAATATACATACATTCATGCAGAATCTTCATCATCATTTAATTTCTTTAAATATAATACACAGCGATAATATTTGGTGGCCAACAATTTAAAAAGTCATTCTTTTAGTGTTTCGAAGAAAAATGCCGTTTCCAGACTACTAGCCCTTCTGGGTTAACGTCTATTTGGGCTAATAAATAACAGGAAGATAATAGGTTTATATTATTCATTCTCAAATTTTGCTTTACTTGGAAAGCGTTCGTAATTTTTTCAGCGTTAAATTAATTGTTAGTTAGTGGTTAGTTCAATCAATCACTAAATCACCAAGTTCTTGAATTAACCTCTGTTGAATTAATTAATTAACCTCTGTTGAATTATTTGATGAGATAAATATCAATCTGAAAATTTTATCGGGCTTTAACGTAAGTTTCCCGCCACCGCAAATATCGTCCATTCGAACAGTTCGCGTTGGCGGGTTTAATCCTATTTTGTCTAACGATTTTTGGCATTTGAAAGGAAGAGGTTTGCTTTATAACACTCTTTTGTGAAATTTGTAAAAAAACAACATTATCATTAAGTTGTCTGAAATGGGATTCTACGCTACCAGATTAGAACCATCATTTACTTTCAGTTCTGTTGCACAAAGTCAGCTAGAGAATATCGCCAAATCATGTGTAGAACTTTAGGTACCAATGCTAAATCACATGACACAGTGAAAGTTTGGTACTTCAGAAACAAGGACTATGTCATTAAGACACAATAACACGCCGAACAAATACTAATTCAGAAGTAAAAACAACGAAAATCAGCGTTATATTTTCCCAAATGAATGAATTTGCGGTTTTGCAGCTGAGAATGGTGGTTCCATCGAAACTAGTCCTGTGAAAATTTTGAAATAACGCTGATTTGATCGCTCTAGACACCGTTGCTTTTTCACAATGCGAGAAATATACATACATTCATGCAGAATCTTCATCATCATTTAATTTCTTTAAATATAATACACAGCGATAATATTTGGTGGCCAACAATTTGAAAAGTTATTCTTTTAGTGTTTCGAAGAAAATGCCGTTTCCAGACTACTAGCCCTTCTGGGTTAACGTCTATTTGGGCTAATAAATAACAGGAAGATAATAGGTTGATATTATTCATTCTCAAATTTTGCTTTACTTGGAAAGCTTTCGTAATTTTTTCAGCGTTAAATTAATTGTTAGTTAGTGGTTAGTTCAATCAACACTAAATCATCAAGTTCTTGAATTAACCTCCCTGATTTTTATTGTTTATATAACGCTGATTTTTATTGTTTGACTTCTGAACAAGGACTATGTCATTCAAGAAGCAGAGCGCTCTGGCCGACCTACTGATGTTGATGAAGCCCGCCTGCAGGAACTTGTGGAGAAGGATCAGTAAGCAACCACTGAAGAGCTTGCTAAGGAGTTGGACGTTAGGTGCCATGTCCATTAGTCGCCCTATGCATCGCTTAAATTTGACGTACAAGCTCAATTGCTGGATGCCGGATGAACTGCCTCAAGCAGATAATCACAGACCTGTTCGGGCCTGCATTAATGTGCTCGAATATCAATGCAAGGACAAAAGTTTGAGCCGGATCATCACTTGTAGTAAAAGTAGACTTACTTCAACAACACGGCCCGAAAAGGGGGTTCTCGTCTGCCGCCCGTTAGCAGCGAACAAAAAAATCATGCTTTGTATCTGGTGAGATTGCCGTGATATTATCCACAAAGACTATATGGCAAAAGGTAAAACACTCGACAGCAAGGTGTACAGCGAGATGCTAGTCTGTGTTGCAGCTGCTACCAGTTCCGGTTTAAAAAGGTAATGTCCCATCAAAATAATGCAAGGCCATATGTATCTGCATTCACCAGCTGGACTCTGTACGGACTCGAAGGGAATCTTTTGCCACACCCACCATATACGCCGACATCGCTCCTTCGGACTTTTACCTTTTTTCACACCTGCAGCTACATATTGCTGGTGCTATCTTCCGTTCTGCAATGGACGTCCGAAATGAGGTTGATCTGTTTTTGGACACTCGGCTTTTCGTATCCCGGCCGAAGGCTTTGAAATACTACCAAAACGTTGGCAGAAAATCATAGATTTGGATGATGATTACTACCCACACTAAAGATACTGCTTTCATGTTTATTTTTCTAACTTTATTAAGAATGCTTTTCAGCGGAAAACTTTCGTTACAACGAGATATATCTTGCTATAAAAATTAATACCGTATATGTATGTTTTGATAAAACTTTAGTAAATAAAATTTAAAATTTAGTTAGAAAATTTGTTCTGTTAAAAGAAAAAAATAATTCCCCCCCCCCCATTTTGGCTTAAAAAAGTACTAATTTTGCCCGTGAACTTCTTTTTAGATCGCGCATTCAGCCTGCACGCAATTTGAGACCATTGTTGTACATTTTAAACAAGGACACTACAAATAATGATAACTTTTTAACTATTGGTGTGGTGGATAATTTCTGATCGCTATTATTTCCGATTCATTCGTCTTCTAATAGATTTTGCAATCCAATCTCTCTTGCAGCGAACTTACATTTTATCCCATTACCCTATGAGCCAGTTCCTTACGACTAACAGAAGAATTCTTTCTAAAATTCTAGTATATCTCTAAGTAATATAACTATTAACGATTATATCACCTTAATAAATAAATATGGATTTTCCCAAAAGTGGCTGAGCCTGCTTTTAAAATCGCTTTCCATCGTTTTGAGTTATGAGCTATGCTGTTGTTATCGCTGTTAGCGAATAAGGTGCTAAAGGCACTTAAATGTGACAAGCCACTTTTGCTTCCTTGGCGCCAAATTTGACGAGAAATCTCTAAAGGTCGCCAAGCTTGGCGACATTTTGGGCTGCTCCCAGTATAACTAGTACTGTAACTGAATAACTGTAATTGATATTCTATATGTAATTGTAACCGTATCCTGCTCTTATATGTAACTTTAGGGATTTATGTCTTATAGTAATTTCGGGAAATGGAAGGAACTAAAGCTCTCTTGGCGGCTGGAAGAAAACTATATAAGCCCGGAGAGAACATCAGTTCTCGGTTGTTAGTTTAGAGCTGATTTCAGACAAATGAGAAATCTCGGTGGGAGCTTCGCTCTTTGGATGCACTGTGTAAGGTTCCGCTGTGTGTAACGTTATCAGTAGTTTGAAGTGCTACCTATTGATTGTGTTCTGCCCTACTGAGAAGAGCTGTATGAATACTTTTGTGAAGTTCAAGAGCTGTAAAAGGTTTCGCTTGTGAAAATAAATTTTATCAAACTATCATTGCTTCTGTGGGCATTCAATTCATTACGATCCCTTACGCACGCGACAATATTATAAACAGAAAATATAATGAACATGCCTTTGTAGAGAGAGACATTAGGATTTTTTGGAGCAGGTAAGATGCAACGCCTTCGCCGGTTAGCATTCGGGAAAGCAATGGTCTTCGAATAGCAACGCCTTCCCCGGGAATCGAACCGTGGACCTCTCAATTACGTGCTGAGCATGCAGACCACTCACCACGAAGGCTCGCTAAGAAGGCGGGAGAAATACCTTATAGCCTAATGGCATTAGCTAAAAATTGCATGATCAGCAAATGATAGTCCAAAGTAAACCCTAAATTTATATTCAGCGATTTCACAGTGCTTATTTTTTACATTAATGAAAATGCTATAGCCTTTTCACTACAATTTGACAATTACATCACTCTTTGCAGTTAAATTGGATCTCCCCTTATTTTCTTTTTCCCATTTATGTAATACTTTGCATTTTAATTTTAGTTATAACTGTTAACATAATTGCAATATTCCCTTTCACCATATAATAACAACATATAACACTACATATAAGGTATTTGATTGTATAATAATTTGATGCTTTTCTGTTAACGGAGCTCTAGTCACCAAATTTGCCTCAAAATACTAAATGTTGTGAACTGTTTGGATTGCATCAGCAATAGCATTGGTGGGAAGAAGAATGAACATTAATCCAGCAATTTTCCGTCCTAGATTTTTAGTTGCTTTTGTGTTGAAGTGCAGAGTTTTAAAGCGAGAACAGATTGCTGTGCACATGGAACAGTTTCGTTAGCCCTAATATACACAGAAATCTGTTTTCATTTGGGAAAAAAAAAAAAAAAAAAAAAAAAAAAAAAAAAAAAAAACAGATAATTTACAATTTGGCACCGTGCATAGTTTTGGCATTGCTGATTAAGCATTACATGAATTACAATCATTAATAAAATTTGTAGAAAGCTACAAGGAGAGAAGGAAACCCTTAAAATTTAGGAATTTCAAAATTTATTTAAAAAGCACTTAATCTCGCTGCTAAGATTAAAAATTTTAATTTAATAGAGAATATATAAACGATTAGATTATCTCCTAGGAAACATGAACAAAAATTTAGATAGTAAAAGTGTACTATTATAAAAATCAAAAGTCGGAATTTGTAATTAATTAAATTGGAATTTATAATTTATAAAATGCTAAATTAATAAAAAATAGTACATTTAAACAAATAAAATTCCACAGAAATTGTTGATTAAATTGTTGATTCCACAGAAAAGATCCAAGAGGAATTGGAATCCCTCTAATCAACTATTACTATCTAAATTTTCCTTCTCATTTCTTAAGCGAAAATCTAATAATTATTATATTGTATTGATTATATATACAATAATTATTCTTTTCGTGAAGCTTTAAATATCGTTAGGACTGCCACCATCTAGTTAGATATTGCGTCGGGCCAACGTTTATGTTTGGCGCTATAACGCGCCCTGTTACCAGGGGGAAAAAAAATCACACATTACACCTATTAGTAACCTTTAACATCATTATCGAGCATTCATTGATTAATATACTTGAGTCTCCATCCTGTCGTTCGTCCCAAATATTAAATGCAAAAACACTATAAAAGAAGGAAAAAAAAGTTATTGTTACCTCTGATTTTCCTTTCGACACACAATTTGCGACATTTAGAGGATCCAGAAAAAGAGCATCCGTCTGTAAAAAACAAAAGAGAGAGAGAACTATTACGAATGGTATGTTAACAGAAAATTAATAAAACCTACATATACACTTAAAATCAAAATTTTTATTTTACGTAGATCTTTTCAATCCAAATTTCATAAAATTTACATACATATCTACAATCGAAATTTAATAAACTTTGCACATATACTCATCTACAATTCAGTCAAAATGCCAGTCTTGAAAAGCCGTTTCTTCATTTCATATAACAGCCAAATTTTCAGTAAATTGTTTGATAGTAATAGATGATTAGTATTAAAACAATTTAATTTTTCCGATTATTTCATACCTTTCTTCTGTTTACATATTATATTTGAATTGGTTAATAAAATGCAATTTTACACTTTAACAATAAACAAATAAAGGGTGATATAATTTCACATATTAAAAATGGTTTATTACGTTATCTTTAAAGTTCAACATTTTAGTTATTAAATTATACTTCCGCATTCATAATTTTGCATTATTAAACTAGCACATTCTTGATGCTTTATTAAATTATACTTCTACGTTTTTAACATTTTATTATATTATACTTCTGTATTCAAAATTATTTACTAACTTCTCAAAATTAATTAATTATAGATCTACATTCCTAATTTTTCGTTTGAGTTCATAATTCTCTATCAACTTACATTACGTAAGTCTAACTACGATTTTACATTCTTAATTCTTCATGAAACTATACATTTTAAATTCTCTATTCAATTCTACTTCTGCATTCATAATTCTTTGCACAGTTATACTTCCGGATTCCAAACTATTTACTAATTACGCAGCTATATTCGTAATTCTTCAGTTAATTATACTTCTACATTTTAAATTCCTTATTAAACTGAATATTTTAAAATCTTTATTAAATTGTATAGTCTTATTTTTTTATAAAATTATATATCTGCATTCATAATTCGTTACTATATTACATTTTTATATTCTTAATATGCTACTAAATTATACATCCGCAGTCATAATCGTTTACTATTCTTTTTATTTCTTCATCAAACTATACGTCTGCATTTATTATGTAAGGTTCCTCACTCCTTTCGTCTAGGATGAATGTTGAGGAACTTAATAAACTATGTAGCGACTTATCGCTGAGTTCAAAAAACTGAAGACTCGAGAAGGGTTAAAATACACTTTATTTTACTCACATAAGAATAACAGTCGGCCCCTTCTCGGGCTTTAACTCAGAATAAGAAACTAAACTATAATTAACTAAAGCAGACTTAGTCGAAGCTAAACACAAGTGTCTAACTTAGCTGGCCCTTAAATTAAACTAGCCGGCGAATATGAATAGGCACGTAATGTACGGCGGAGCGTAATAACTTCAAGAGTGACTTAGCCCGAAAGCAAACATAGGCTACTAAAGATTCCTAGCACTCTCTTTTGAAGTAAGTTGAACCTTCCTTAAATACTTCTTCTAACTCATTTTGCATTCAAAGCGATTCTAAAAACTCATTCTGGTAGGAAGTTGTAAGTAGAAACAAGAATTGATAGGAAAGGACTATGAAATTAAAATAACTGCTATAAAATTAAAATACATCTTACAATTATTTTTTTATTAAATTATACTTTTGCATTCATAATTCTTTCTACTAAATTATATATCTACATTCATAATTCTTTATTAAATTATACTTCTTCATTCTTAATTCAATATTTCTAAATCATATTTCTATTTTTTCTCTCTTTCTCCAAAAGATTTTAGATTACTTTCAATTAATGAGGTTAAGTCGTCGCATACTAATTGCGAAATTTGCAGCTGCGGCTTCAAATCAAAAAATATGACGACTAAATTATTTGTGGTCATATTTTATTTGAAGCAGTTTGACTCATTACTTAGCGGTACAAAATTTTGAATCCACCCTTAAGACATATCTCTTCTAAAAAGAATGCACGAACCTAAAAAACTGAAGGTTTAAATATTGTAGCCTAGCCCTTATGCAAATACCCCTAGAAGTATCTGAAGCCATTTCCGTCTATTGCAGAGAAATAAGAAATTGGGTTTCTGCTCACGAAAAATCTATGCTACAACCCTGTATTGGAAATCCCCAACCATCTTATCCTAAAACACAAAATCCACAGATTCCGCTCTTTTTTGTTTAATATATATCCCTATCTTCTTTTCTCAATTACTCTATTCCGAGCATCTTGAAACGGCCACGAGATATATCTTATGCAGCTAAATTCCCAGATACACTCACAGAGGATCGGAAGCAATGGCCGAAGGCGGGAAAACACAGAGTAACGAATTCTACGATGAGTGTTGCCATGACGAGAAAGACTAAAATTGGATTTCGTTCCTCGCAGATAAAATAAAAATAAAACGATGATCATAACGATAAAAAAAAAGGTGGAACGTATTCCTTTTTGCTGATAAGCCACACCTAGGACTTCGACTCATTTTCGATTTCAGATACAGTGACGAGCTTTAAAGGGGGTGGAGGAATAAAAAATAAAAACAAGGAATAAATAAAACATCGTACCAACCCCACCTGTTCCTTCGGGGCAGAGCCGAGTTGCCAGAAAAATTTTAGAAATAAAAACAGAAATATAAAAAAATACCGCGAACGATTGCTTTTCATATATATGTATATAAGAAAAAGGCTCAAAATTCGCAACTTTTTTCTTCCTTTTTCGGTTATTATTATTTATGCGTACTCGAAATATATTCCACGTGAAAGCAAATCAGGGATAGGGAAGGATACTGAAGCATAACCCAGGCTTCCCTTCGCGGAGAATTTTCGATACGTGTGAGTTTTGCATAATTCTTAAGATAGTAACCTGCAAGACGAATAGCACTTCTTAAGATAGGAACCCACAGGACGAATAGCAATTTCTATTTAATTCCTGATATCCAGATTTTTGAAGGCAATTTCACGGAAATTCAAATATTAGTGATGGCATCAGTCACGATTCGACACTGTTCGCATCAAGAATAAATTACATCACATGTCACGTCAATAATTCATTCTCATGCCCGTTTTCGCATCACAAGAAGCACAAAACAAACAGTAAAACAAAAACACATTCAACAGTAAAATCACAATTATTATTTTTTTTTTTTTTTTCAAGTTGCACATCTTTAGAGTTCTCGACAGTGTGTTAAATATTGGCATACTTGGTTTTTAATATTTGCTATATTATTTCTTTAAAAATAATACATGGCAATAACATTTGGCAACAGCATCCTTTTATCTGAAAAGTGAAACGAACACACACAAAAGCGAAGATCCAGGCTAACAGCACCCCTGGTGTTAAGAAAGTAAAACTACCTTTTAGAAAAAATTCAGTATTTACTAATACTATTTCAATTAAAGGTGTTTCTTATTTATATTTTAATATACTTGTAGAGACATTAGTATTTTTTGGAAGCAGGCAAGATGAAAAATTAGCAACCACCTTCGGTGGGAATCGAACCACGGACCTTTGGAATACCGGCCCAGCGTGCAGAACCACTACACCACGAAGGGACGCTAAAAAGGCGGGAGAAATACCTTATATACGTAATGCGGCAGCATCGATTAAAATGGATGCAATACATAGAAAAGCCAAGCAAGCAGAAATAAAAAAAATTTTTTGATAATGACATTTTCGAAACATTCTCTTAAAGACAAATTAATAATTCACTAATTAATTTACTAATAAAATTACTCATTTTATCCTTGACCACCGGATGATATAAATAACAAACGACTACATATTAAGCAAAAAAGATTATGTCCAATAAAGAATAATTCTGATATTTCAAAAATTAAAATTGTTATGCATACATACCTTTCTACTTAAAAAACGATTATTACAAAAACTACCGAATAGGGCAAATATTAAAAGACAAATTAAGAAATCTTAGATGCATATTCCTTGCTTCTATAAAAACATGCAATATTATATTTTAATTTTCTTTTTTCTTGGCTTTATTGGAAACGGCGAAAGAAAATTATCATCTTATAAAATCAACTAAAATTCAAGCATGTAATGATTAATGAACTAATTAATAATGCATTAAATAAACTGGCGAACCTGGCAAGATGCGTCTGCGTTCCCCCAATCTAACAAAGTAATATTTTTCTTTAAAAAAAACTACAACATATAATAATTTTTACTTTTTTAAAGAGAAGTAAATGTATAATTAACGTTTAATTAACTGAGCCTATAATGAAAAATGTACGACACGTTTGAAATTTTCATATATTTTTAGCATCATAGTTATTTAACATACCGCTTTTATAAACAAAAGTCAATAACTTTTAATAAAAAAATATAAATACACCGCGTTTTTTTAAGGACATAGCTCACGGTTCTTTAACACAGTTTTAGCAACTTATTAATATACCTTACAAGTGGCAAGCTTTAAACATCTATAGGAACCAATAAAATTAAGACACATTAATAATATAACTCGAAAGAACTGAAAAATTCTTTTATATAATGAACAATTGTCCATATGAGTACTTTAATTGGTTACACCCATATTTCCCCGTTATTTTGAAATTTTCATATACTAAATATAAACTACTGTAAAGCTATCTTCTCTGCACTAATATCATACTTGCCAAGAAACCAGTTTTACAGGAGTAGCATTCTGTGTCGGAGAGCTCAACGGCTTACATTCATAACATTGACAATGCGCAGCATCGACATTTTGTTAGAGGACTATTATTATTATAATTTTATTTTTGAATTTTGGTGACGTTTAAAAACTGTTTGGCTTTATTTTTTGCTTGCTTTAAAAATGGCCTGTAGTCGTAAGGAAACAACGAACATGGATTCGATAATTGATCATTTTTCATCATAAGGATGGAAATTTGATTCGGGATATTGTTAAATTAGGAAAATGTCTCCCATTCTACGGTGCAGTACGTGATAAAAATGCTTTAAAGAAGAAAATCGGTTCCAAAATAAAGTAAAAAGAGGTTGTTCGGTAAAGAAGACTCGGCGTGACTCAAGAGGATCAGAGATTTATAGTTACA